GGGATGAGAACCAGCCTGTTTGCTCTGGGACCCAAAACACCTCTTAGCTGCTCTAAATAGCTCTGTGTGGGATTGTCAGCATAGCTGATGCTGGATTATCTCAGCAAAAATGAGCATTATGAGAATATACTCAAGTGCAGGAGAGGGATGGGACAAACCAGCATCTGGTAAAACAGCTTTGTTGCGAGGCAATCCTTTTACTCGAGTAAAGATTTTTTCCCCCAGGCAAGAAGTCATCCCAGCTAAAAACCCCCATAATGAAAGAAGCCATGGGATATACCATCTTCAGGAGCCTGTTTCCTGGGAGCACACATTGCAAAGACCTTCAAAAGGACAGTGGAGGTTTGTTATGGAAAGAAGCATGGCAGACCCAGGGCTTCCTCCTGGCCAGGAAGGTCCTAACTCTGGTCACGTCCCTTTCTGAAGGTAACAAAGACAACGCGCTCCTGCCTGCAATATCCAGTATACAATGGCAGAATCATGTTCCTATAAGTCTAGGACAAGTGTGTGGAGCTGGACTCTGGATTTCCAGTTCACTGGACAGTGCTCTACGGACATGGGCACAGGCAGGCTACTGCAGGCATTTCAGCTCCTCTCCCACAGCTGGGTCTCTGCAGGACTGCTGCTGTCACCTGGCTGATACATTCAAGGGAAACCAGAAAAGGGCAGCTAAGGAGCTGATCAGACAAATAGCATAGTGTTTCCAAGAAAAATTAAACTGTCCTTTGCAAATAAAGATACTTCAAAGACAGAGAATTACTTATCACTTTCCATTAATGCTTGCATTTTATACCTTCTCACTGTTCTGCTCTTTAAGACCACAAGTGAACTGGGGCATCACTGCCTATTTGTCCACATTTGACCAGGACCTTATTAAGTGAAGCCCCAATATTAGCTCATCCCTTGGCACTGCAGTAATAAGCACAAGGAAGTAATATTCATATTAGACAGCCACTATAGCTTTGGATACAAAGAAAGCAAAACGGATGCACTTGCTCATAAACAGAGAAATGTTTCCTCTGATTATGGGTTTCCTCCCTGCTCACTACAAACAATTGTCAACTATTCCTGCCTATAGGTGTATCAAGATTACTCATCAACAAGTTAACAGCAAGGTGATCCACAGTTGCTTCTGTAATTCAGGTTTGGGGTTATTACAGCAGCACAAGTCAGAAGGATTAAATGAGAAGAAGGGTATGCTGAATACAGGAAAATATTATATGCAAATTGTGATTATTCATTACTGAGTCACAAAAAACACGTATTCAAAATCTGTCATGATTTAAAGTTTTAACAATAAAATGCTTTGCATTTATGTAATGACTTTCATTGGAGGATCTCAAAATGCTTCAGAGGCACTGAGATGAATGCAAAATAATGTCAGTCTCACAGGGGGGCTTTGGGTGCATTTTTTTTCAAATCAGCTGCTAGTGGTGGGGTGATATGAGGCATAAGCTAAAGGACATACGAAGTGTCAGCAGAGGCCTAACAGTTGGTTAAACAGGATTGGACCTTCAAACATGGGGACAGACAGAACAGTGTGAGGGGCAGTCAGCAGTGTGAGAAGTACCAGACGTTAGCGTGTTACCTCCCAGGGAGTGAGTGTCCCCAGCCAACACATCTGAGACTGTGTGTGTCTGTGGGCTTAGGAGGATGCTGTGCCAGGGTAATCTGAAATGTGTCGTCATTAGCAAAGATTGGCTACTGTTGCCTCAATTATCTCTTCGTGACACCTTGCACACCAGTTATCTCCCACCACTGCATCAGAGACGTGGATGGGAAGGTTCCTCAAAACAGTGGCTCCCAGGGGTTTCCAAGACATCAGAATGTGAAAAAACAAATTGCAAACTTAAAAAAAAAAGCACACAGACTCTTCCCCCACCTCTTTCCCCACTTCTCTGTTTATGAGCAAGTCCTTAGACAAGTGGGACTAACAAGCAAAAAAATTGAAAAAGTGAAAACATCAACATTCAAAACCTAGCCCATTTTGAAATGAAAAACATTGTGAAAATATGGCACAGGGTGATACTTGGTGGTCTGAGCAACAAAAAGGGCTGACAAAGATGGATCTGATCCATCCTCCAGTCCCCAAACAGGTTCAGCCTCTGTTGATCCTTACAGATGCATTTCTAATATCCTTTAAAATATCCAGTGATAGGGTACTTAAAACTATATCCAGCCTCTTTCTTCTCTCTGATTATATCACATTGTCTACAGGTAAGCAGCAAACAAATATGTTGCAAACACAATAATACCCTGAAAATGTACTCACTAGCCGAGTATTATTAGTGCCAGCGAAAACATCATGTGGCCCATCACTCAACACAACAAGAAATCCCTTCCCCAAAGAGAACGTGGGAATTTTGCAGCACGTTCCTTCATCCCTTTTCACATAGACTGAGCAGGGATGGTGGAAATTTAAAGCAAGAGAGAGCACACTTCAATCTGTGTGGAAGAGAGTGTGGGCACTGGTGTTACGGGATGTGGTGGTGGAAACCTTAACCACTGTCTTCCTGAGAGCTCTCTCACTGTTTGGTGAGACAAAGCAGACTGCAAGATAAAGAGTGCTCCAAGGTGTAAGTTCTTCAGCTGGAGGAACTATGGGCTGCCAGGCCCTATATAGAGAGCTTTCTTCTTCTACCTAGTGCACGTATTTGGTAAGATGAAGAAGGAAAAGGAACAGATCAAGGATTTTAATGTTTCCAGTAATAATGAAAAACAGAACACTATAATCTTAGAAAGCTAAAGATGGGAACTGAGATTTTATTGATAGGAGCTAATTTTTTCAGAAAACAATAAAGCCTAAATCCACTGGCTGATCCAGAGCAAAACCAACGGTGTGTTGAAACTGTAGACTGATAAATGTCTGCTGATATTGGTGGCCTTAGTAAGAGGACATCCTAGCATCCACACATTTTGCATAAGATTCTGCCAGGGAAGCAATTTGGAGTTAGTGACAACTTGTACTATAAAAGAAGTTACAGGCAGTGTAATTTGTGTTTGATTTCATGAAAACATCCATAGCAGAGGCTCAAGGTAGAGCATTTCAGAACTTACACTTTTTTCCTTAGAATTGTAATTTTCTAAATATATTTTTGTCTTTTCTTTATGTCTAGCTGAGAAAATACTTTGCAATGTGTATGCCACCAGGCCTACACCTGTGGTGAACCTTGCTCCCAGATAAATGCCTTCTGACCCTAGAAAATACTCAGAGGGGACAATAGAAACCCACGGGATACTGCCTGGTAGGACTGCTTTAGGAACACAAGCATGGTTGTTGCTGAGAGAAGTAAAATGCTTTGCAGTACCTCAATGTCTAAAATATTTTATAATGTAGATTTTTGAACTTTCGTAATGGTGTTCATCTATGTTCTTCAAAGGCCAAGCAAGGATTAGTGCAGTAGCCAGTCCTGTTTGGCTGTCTTCTGTACAAGGAAGGTGACAAGGTCTGTCAGGCAGTCTGTGTGTGGCTTTTTGATAGTCGGTCTAAGCCATGAGGAAACACGTTCCCAGCTACTGGCCTAATCTAACAGCTACTCAGCTGTTGGATTAGGCTGGCCTAACAGATGAGTCTGTCAGATTAGGCGAGCCTAATCTAACAAGATTCTAGCAATATCTTACCAGACGTGAAGATAACCTACCACCCTATGGTCAGCAGGCAGATCTCAGTATATCTTCTGCATACCAGAAAGCATAGGCACCAGTTTAGGTGTCTTTCTTCTCTTTCTTCAGATAGATACAGACCACATGGGATCTAAGAAATGACAGCAGTGGCCAACTGGATTGGTGTGCGTGCCTTATGGCGACTTCAGACATAGATGATGCAAAAGACTTACAGAGATTTAACACCCTGTAAAAGCCTAGAAACCACTGACAAACTGGTAGCTCTTCCTTCCCAGCTGCAGACAGAACCACAGTATATTTTCAGGAGAGTACAGCTGTACTGGACAGTTTTGAATTAATATATAAAACAAAGTCCTGTATTACGTACCAAACAGAGACTGGTTGGGAGAACTGGGAGCTGCTACCAGTAATGCCACTGGGAGCTGCCAATGTTTGTCCCAGAGCAGTGTTTGGTTCTCAGCATCCAGATGTTGGAGAGAAGCTCTCCCCATTAACCCCAGTGCTATCCAACTGCAGCAGATCTCAATGGTGAGCTATCATGGTTTAACCCCAACCAGCAACT